AGAAGCACTGAGGGTTACAAAAATTGTATGTATTTTTTTATAACATAAAAAAATTGTGCATTTAATAAAACAAAAAATGACAATTCTATCAAAATTGAAATAGGAATAAAAATCAGTGAATTATTGCAGATAAATCACATAATTAGAGGCTAAGGCTGGATGATATGGCTGAAAAATGTACTGTAACAGAAACATCACATATCAGTTATGTATAATTGATTTGATTTTGGTTGAAATGCTGTGCATTTCTAAATCTGAATTCAGTGAAATTATTGAATGTTCTATCAGACATATCATCTATTGATATTGATCGTGTGTCTATCACGACATATTGTTATTGATTTACTGTCCAGCCATAAGACAGGATAACGGTTTCTAAATTTTGGGGGTTGGTTGTTTTCCTATTTGGGCCGGAAGATTTTCCTTTTGAAACCAGGTCAATAACTGTGCTTCTAGTTACTCCAAAAGTAAGATGAAGCAAATTAATAAATGGGAAAATATTTTTGGCACCCAATATTTTTTTTAGAAAGATATTTATCTACAAAAGATGAAAAAGTGTTCATCAACATCAGCCAGAAGGCCACATTTTGGACACATCTTGGACACCCCTTTTCAAAGCAAACAGCTTCTGGACGTGTCTCACCTGGAAGTACTCCTCCATGGCTTTCCTAACGTGTGTGATGTCATGTGGCGGCGCCACCAGGTTGTCTTTGGCATCAAACACCGTCTTCACAGCCGAATGAGCGATCCAGAACGCTGAAACACAAAAGCTATATGAGCTTGTGCTGCAACGACCAAGACATAGACACTGAAGGTTTTTGTTTACCTGCTCCTTCATCTCCCATCATGTGACCCCAGCCTCCGCAGCCGACCTGGGAGCCGTCAGGGTTGACCAGCTTGCAGTTGGAGCCAGTCCCGGATATGAGAACTACGCCTCCTGGTGAGAAAACCCACAGAAGACGGTGTTAAGTAACATAGGGCCATAAAGGAACAGATGGCACTCTGAGGTAGACACACCTGAAAGGGTAAAGTACCAGTCGTTAACGGAAAACTGTGAGGAGCTTTGGTGCAAGAACAAAATCATTAACAAAAGCAATGATGAAACAAAATGTAACCTATAAAAATCCAACTCATGTTCTTAATTGTAATTTTTAAAAATAAACTATAAAAAAAATAAACTATACTATAATAAGTTAATTCTAATTACATGTAAGTTAAAATGCAGATGCTAACTACATTACCTGCATTATTGTGTTTATAGAAATGAGGATATTCAGTTGGGTGATAAAAGTGACTTTGGCTGCATGTCACATCAATCATACCTACAATACTGGTCTTGAAAAATATTTCCATTTGCAATACGCTTCTTTTAGACTTTTGCGCACACAAACTGTATTGAATCATATTTTAAAATTTATTTACATTTATCAATACATTCATTGAATGAATTTTTTTTTTTTTAACAATAAACAGTTTTGGGTGGTTTTAGACACCAATAACTGGAATTTATTATCACAATGACAAATCAAAATTGCTATTATAATTGTAAATATATCAGGAGAAATGATAAACGTTATGACATACGTTGCTTAATGTGCAACAAACCTCCTGTCCAGTATCTTATTACGCATCCAAAATGTATAATTTTGATTTTATTAACCAATTAATGAAAATCCAACATGAGTTGGATTTTATAGGTTACATTTTGTAACCTAAAAGCTTACCTTGATCACTTGCCGTGGCCATAGCACCAATGGCGTCTGTGGTGATGAAGTAATGCTCGCTGAGATGTGGAAACCGCTCCTTCATCACAGCAATCAGATTGTCGATGGCATCTTTCTGCTCACCCCCACTCAGAGACATACCCTACACAAAAACATAAAGAATTATAGTTTCAACCTGAAATTACGACAGCAAGCAGGAATTTGTTTTTAAGGAGCCGTTTGACAGACCAGACAGCGTAGCGGCGTGTTTGGATCCAGTCCTGCGGTGATCTTTGCTTTATGGACCATTTCGTTGATGGCTTCAATACTTTTATCCACCCCAATCAACTATGTTAGACACAAAAGCACAAGTCCATAGCACAGGGAATAAGACAGTATTCATAAAAAGAAATTAAATGTGCAACTATATCTGGACATAAGTCTTCAAAAAAATAATAAGAATAAAAAGCGAGACATTATAATATTTCAACCATAACTGAAAGACGGTGCACTTTTAATCTCTTTTGGGTTATAAACTATCCCACCCTGACTGTGCAGCTCACCCAGTGGTTGGTGCAGGGTCCCTCTGCCTCTCCCAGCACCTTCCCATCTCCTGACAGCAGCACAGCCCTGGAGTGAGTCCCTCCACTGGATGAAAAAAAAAGAAACAGAAATGCAGGAATATGTTAAGACATTATTAACAACTAACATAAATACCTCAGTAAGACAGGAAGGGCGACAGAATGCAACATGAAACACGTTTCTATGCATTTTCATGAGCAATCATTCATTTAAAGGCAACGTAAGCAGGGGGGACGAGACGATCTCGAGATTTACGCTTCCGTGTACGAAAAACATATTAAGTTTAGCCCTAATTTATACATGACAGCCCACAAGGCATAAGTAAACATACAAAATTCAAACAAACTCAGAGATACATGCCATAAAACTTCAACTTAAACGCTTTTAGTGAACATTTCTACTCTTTCTTACCCTTCTATTCCACCGTACACCGATGCCATGTTCCTGTTTGGGTCCCTGTAGTCGGCTGAGATCTCGCGAGAACCAGTTACACTTACAATATTGCATCTTAACCACTAGATGGCAGCGTTGTGCTAAATTGTGCCTGCTGAAAGTTTTATGTATAAATAAATAATTATAATTTTGAATTTATTTGTAACATTTTTAAATAATAAAACTATTATTCTAGTTGTTTCTTCATACTAATATTATTACAATTGCTAAAATTTTATCTTCACTGTTATTGATCTAATTATTTGTATGTTGCTGTATTTATCTGTAATACACCAACAAAAACAATAGTAGTAGTTATATGCTTCCACACACTGTCTCTCTTTAAGATGAATAAGCTTGTTATAAAGATATCAATTAAAAATGTGGAAAAATACATAAAATCCATTGCTATACTATAAATGAACATAAAATTTTCTCTTCGGCATACAAAAGGACACACAAATAAATTCTGAAATCACAAAGTACACAGCCAAAAACAAACAAATACCACAATGACGGAAGAGTCATCACTTTTTTTGCTTAGATATCATTTTTGGTGAGCGAGAGCTGCTTTATTTTAGAATTATCTTGACCTGATTGACCACCTAGTGAACGGAAACAAAATGTTGTATTAAAGGAGAGAAATGATCTTTTAATCACCTAACTTTCTCAAATGAAAAAAACATCTTGACTTTTTATAACCAGAATCTGCATGGAGCTGGAGAGTGTTCTTTATGTTTAAGTGTACCAAGGTGTTTAAAACCAATAATCTTCTCCACTTCCTGACCCCTTTACGATTATTAGCCAAAGAGTAGCGCTGCACTATCTTCCAACCTCTCCTCTAGATACAGCTCCTTGATTTTATTGCTGTATACACTGACCTTGTCATTTGATAATTTCACAGCAAACCGATTGAGTTTATCTTTTGTTGGTTAATTTAGTGCAAAACTAAACTGCAACACAAAAAACAAAAGCAGAATAAGACATTTTGGCCTTAAATTGAGACTGGGACTCATTATTCAAGAATCCTTATCCAGTGTCAGAATAATGTCAATAAGATTTATCACCACTGGAGACACAGCACAGCTACACTGTGAGCCAACAGGAACAGGAGGCATCTGCAACATATTAATTTAGCTGGGCAGCTCCACTTGCCAACACACACTGCTTAATTTAAAATTCCTGCAATTTTTCTGACGTGAAAGCCTATTTATTTTGGCACCAACAGCAGGTCTACAGAAAAGGGGGAACGGATTATTATGCAAAAAGGAAAAAAAATCCCAAAAACCTGTAAGCTTTGTGTAACATTTATACCCTGCTGGTAATTTTCCATCATTATCATCGGATGTAATTAAGAGTTTTCGAGGTTCGTTTCGACACAAATAGAGAGCAAAAGAAACAGAGTTAATTAGAGCTTGGCTGAACGATGAGGTAGGAAAGTGAGCGTGTCAGAGGTGAAATCAAGGAAGAAGTTACACAATAGTGAGGATGTGGGAGGAGGGAAGCAGGGGAGCGTGCTGTTTCTGCTGCTGAAGGCAGAGAGAAACGTCAATTCCACGCTACAGGAGGATACCGGATGTACGCAAAGACTTCAGAATAAGAGTCTAGCGCTCTGTTACAAATTATTTGGCACCACATTTTACTATTAATTAAAATCGATTAATTGTTAAGTGGAGGCCATTTACTGAAAGACCAACATACTGAGGGCAGGAGTTAAGCAAAAACTGTAATAAGAATATTAAAATTTTTGCATTAAAGATAACAAACTTTATTTAGAAGTATAGTTAACCCAGAAGTGTCTGTTTTAGCAATTAAACTATTAAACACCTTTTGCGATCCATTTATTAATCCACAATTAAATCAGCAGATCAGCTGTACACTGAATTACTCAAGTAGGAGTAGCCATACTTCATTATAAAATTACTCAGCTAAAAGTAAAGCACAGTAAAATAATCCTAAAAGTATATTGTTCCCACAAAACGTTCCTCAAGTAAATAAAACTAGTTAAACAGACAGACAGACAACTAAACACAGTAGCACTGGACTAACAACAAAAAAACAATGTAAATGGGAAAAATTGTTTTAACTGCTTTATTAAAATAAAAAAGAAACAAGGGTAAATTCAAAAACACTAGACCAGCACCAAAGCGCATATCGCTTCAACACGATTTGCTTTTATTTTGAAAGAACCAAAAGGAAGTGGTTGGTTGTGTTTAAGCTAGCTGTAGGAGCTCTGCCGCTCCATCCTCACTGGCGGAGTGAGAAGAAGCAGATAGACGAGCAGCTGACTTCACACAGACAGTACTGAGCTTTTCACGGAACCGCTCGGTGTCCGTTTGGACCGCTCTCTTTCTGCCCTCGCCATGGCATCGCCTCACACTGTCGCGTCTCTACAAAACCGCTTTTTAAGACGCCTAAGGGACGGAAGTGAGGAATAAGAGGGAAGTCGCAGTGGGAGATAATTAAACCCACAATATATTTGTAAAAAAGCGACTTTCTTTGGTCAAGTTCAAGTTGAATCGTCATTGTTGTTGATTTCCCTGGAGGAAAGTTGGTATTAAAAGTGTGGGATCATGGACGCGCATGTTAAAGAGGGACAGCTCTACGTGCAGCACCAAAAGTTTGGGAAGGTGAGTTTTATTGTTTACTTATTTACTTCCACCGGGCAAACTACTAATGTGTGTGTGGCTGGTAATGCAGATCTCTACTGACGCATTGAATGGTTTTATTTCTTAGCAAAACGCTCATTACACACCTAGAAATAGCCCAGAACCTCTAATAGTATTTTAATAGTACGTATTTTCGCAGAAAATATGAAGATGACAGTCACAGTTTGAAACTAGTGACACGTTTTTGCTAATTGGTTGAGTGGTCACTGAAATAACCTGGTTATTGCGATGTGATGCTGAGTAAAAACACTGAACACGTATAGGAGGAAAAGGAAAAACTCTTATGCAACGTATTGCAGTTTAATGCAATTTCCTTAGCAGGGAGAAGGCATGAGTTTCACTCAAGATGAGTAAATTATGTTTCATTTAGTCTTTTTTACAGCTTCAACAATAGAAATTTACTAAACATCCTTAAATTATGTGTGTTTTTGTCGCTAGAAATATTTTGTTAAGTACTTAAAAATATCTTAAGTAAAGGAAAAGTGGAGTAGTTTTCCTTTCAGCCAGCTGACCAGCAGTGTCCAGTGACAGAGGGGATAGGGGTAGTGTTGCTCCAAATGCTCAACTTCAGCACATTCTCTGGCATCTCATTAAAACAACTTTAAGCTGAGCGAAAGAAGAACTTACAGATGTTGATATGCCTTTAAATAACTAACTAGGTCATGCAGGTTCTGTTTTATGACCCAGCTTGGGTCAAAGTTTAGCAGTCAGACATCTGCTCTCATCACTTCTGCATACGAATTAATGGTTGGCTCAATGGCCGCTAGGCGTCCAATAACTGGTCCAATAACTGGTCCAATAACTGGTATGCCTTCATACCAGTTATTGGACCAAACTTTAGGACATTGGCGTTCAAAGACAGACTTCAAGGCCCGGTATTCTGCAGGTTCTGGTTCGTACACTGAGTCAAATGATGGTCCACTAGGAGAAAACTTAAGAGATTAAACTTATGCTACCAAAAAGCCTGTTGTTATACGTTTTTAGTGAGGTTGAAACAAATCAACAAACAAATATCTTCCTTTTTCTGATTCTTTTTATCTTGTCAGACATTAGGATAGTACTTCAATAACAGATATTCTGCTGTATAACATTTAACAACCGATACTGGTAGAGTTCACTGAGATTTTGATGTAGCTCAACGTACCAAAGATGAGTTGATATAATCGGTTGATATAGCGATGATTTAAGAGTAGTTCAGGCTCATTTTGTTATGACTATCTGTTGAAGGATTGTTGACCTAAATTGGCTCAATTGTAGTCGCCTAAACGATATTGTGATGTTTTATTTTGCAAGAATTTATTGCACCCATTGGAAAAAGGGATAACTAATTTTACTGGACGAAAAATTGTCCCAAAGTTTATTGTGATAAATGATAATATTGTTGTTTTGAGGCCCTTTTCAAGTAATATAATGATTATAATGAGATAATAATGCAATCTCAAACATGACTAAACTTTAAATTATAATGAATATGGAGCACTGTAAGCGGAAGGCAGTTTAAATATTGAAAATAAATAAACAAACAATAAATAAAGCAACACTGACCTTCAGTAAAGAGGCTAGTTGAGACCAATGCACCAGACTGAAGCCTTTTGTCGTCCATTTTTGTTAGAAAGAGAGAAAAACAATCATCATTCAATTACTTGAGTTATTGTTTACTAGGGATAGCATGTTTTTGTGTTGATTGTGATCATCCCCACTTATTAAACTACCTTTGACTGTGAAAGCTGCACTCACACCTTGTTGCAGCCAGCAAAACAACAGAGTGAAACCCCGGTGATAAACACCTCAGCTCATGTCTGTGCCTTCCTGTCTTTGGCATCCACGCTCCAGTTTAGTCTCTCAGCAGCCCCGCTAGATAACAACCCGGTCAGACGTTCAGACTTGTGAGACGGTCTTTGTCTGGCCTCGTCTCTCTGTCTCTGGTGGTCATATGACACGAACCGACAAAACATTCAGGCCCCATGCTTCCTGTTCTGAAATCACCACTTCACAATGCATATTCATGCTCCCAAGAAACACTTTCAATGTCTTTTATGGTGTGTTTTCTATAGAAACTGGACATGCATTATTTCTGTGTCTGAGCAAAACAGAAGTTTGCTGAATGAGGCAGGGAGAGGCGAGGAAAAAAAGATTGAGAGCTTGCAAAAAAAATAGAACAGGAAGCAGAACCTCAGTTATTCTGAAAGTGTTGAAACTAGTTTCAGGTTTGCTGAGGTGAATTATGCAATCTTCATAACAGTCAGTGGACACACACACACATATATATGTACATATAGGGGTGATTTATGTGTGTTTCGTTGGAAAATGTGACAGAAGAGGGGAGCCAGGTTTCTGTTTCAGACTGTTGTCTTTTTTTTTTTGTGACGTGGGAAGTTGTAGCACTTGTTGCAGGTCGGCAACATGCAACAAATCAAGCTCGCAGACACCATGTGCAGACATCCTGGCAGCCAGACTTTGGCCACGATTCTCTTGAAAAAGAGATTTGAAATTTAAATGGGCAATAAAGACTAGATAAAAAACAAAACAAAAAAACTTTAACAAGGGTTCTTTCTGGACTTCTGTGCTTTTAAAGCAATAGCACAATATGTGATAGTTGCCCTTTATCATTTACAGCAATAAAGTTTGATGTATTGTTGTATTATTGTTTTTAAATCGGAATTTATTATTTTTACTGTTACTGTTTGCTAAGCATGTAATATGACTAAATACATTTATTCTGTCGTTTACTAAAATCTCACGTCTTTATAGGACTGTTGTCCAAAAGAAGCGTAAATAAATGTATTGCAAATAAAAATGTTTTTGAAGAGGAGTATTTGTTTATGTGAGGCGATGATTGCCATAGCCTCACATAAACAGTCTGTGTTTATATTACAAAATTAAACAAATTTAAGTTGTGAAAAATAAAATTGCTTAATGGAAACGTGACAATTTTGAAAATAGTTGTATTTTTATATAAAGTAACTGCCATCATAATTTTTAATGACTTTTTGCGTGAAGAAACTTATTTACTTTCATTTAATTTGTCATTAATTGGAAACGCAGCAATTCTGTAATTGTCTTTTCAACATCAGCAGAATATCAACAACTTGCACACATTTAATGGGGCTAATGCATTCTTAGTTAACTAAGAAATGTCAAAAAGTTACTTATCGTTACTTTTATTGTTACCACAATACCACAAAATATCGTGATCAAAATTTTTTTCATGCTTTATCACATGAAAAAAAACATGACAAATATCGTCCATATCATCAACCTAACTTATTCAGTTTTTGCCCAAAAACTATTTTAACAAAAAAAAAAAAATTCAAAACATGATTTAGACAAAAAAAAATGACAAATTACTTACCTAACAGGACATTATGTTAGGAAAGAAACAATATTTGACAAGGAGAAAATTAGCAACACATTGCCTTGTAAAACTTGTCACTCTTAGATGTTTTGTGTATTGTATTGAGCTTTTACATAACACAAAATGGCAAAGAAATGTTACAAGGGAGAGAAATCTAATTATCCTTTCCTGTCTAATCATAAACTACTGTTTTCGTCTCCACTTTTTTCATGCGGATGTTTTTTAATAAAACAGAATGTAACTACTTTCCCTCAGGAATGACCAAATGAACAATAAATATCTAAAATGATGATTGGTTTTGAAGTTGCTGTTGTAATTACAGCTTGTAAACCTGTCAAGCTGTCATCCAGGCTCTGGTTCTGGATACAGATCTGAGCAGCAGATTTACCGGGGAGTCATGTCTGTCTCTGCATCAGCTTGCCTGGCTCTACCGCATCCATGTCAACGTTTTAGAAGCTGCTCCGACTTGTGTTTGGTTGACCTGCAGCTAGCAGAAGCTTTCAGTGATCTGCTTGCAGCTGTCGACCAAACACTGGCTGAAATTTTGACTTTGTCTCCTTATTGGCAGCAGACAAGTTCAACCAGGATGTGTGTCATGCTTGGCCAGAAATACATTTCCTCAGGCTACGAGATTTATACAACATTAGTTCAAGTTATTGGTTAGGTTTTCACTGTCAGGTCTCCTCCTCTTCTTTTGTCCTGTGGTGAGACGCTAATGTCAAACCTCCCAGAAAGAAGCACCAGATCATTTATGGTAATAACTAAGTACCTTGATGTGGTCAAATAATTATGCTTGTAAACTGTTATGATTTAGGAAGAAAAGTGTCATTTTTTTCTAAGCAGAGCCGGCCCAAGGCATGTGCACGTTAAATGGCTGCTAAGACCACCTAGCTAGGATAATATTTATTTAAAATAGCATGAAATAATATAAACTAAATGCTATTTTTCATGAAAAATGTATAATCTATATTACTTTTTTCAGTTGTTGCACAAATAATAGGTTAATCTCTTCCTTTCAGGTTGGACAAATATAAGATATCAAACTTGCTAAAACTTTTATAAAAATATTTTTTACATATTTAATGAAGCTGTCACTATGTTGTGACAGTTTGGAATGAGACAGATAATCTGTTAAAACAATCAAACTCATCTGCTTTCTGGTGTCTAGAAACAACCAATCTGACCTAGGTGGGAGGTCTTAGTGCTGTCAATCACTTCTATGTTCGTGCCGCTCATCCCCTTCGACGCCGTCTTTGCTACAATACAGTTGTGAATGCTAGGGCTAGTTAGCATCATAAATGGTTTTCTATAATAGTGAGTTGTTTCTTTGGCGTTAGTACATTTAGCAGAGCATTCACAATGATGATTGACAGTCCCAAGACCTTCCTCTTGGCTCTGATTGGTTGTTTTTGGTCTGGAGCGGCAATAGTAGCTCAGGGAGGAGATTGCTCTTTCACAGGTTATCTGTCTTTTATTCTTCTGTCATGAGAGGGTAACAGTTTTAATAAATATGTAGAATTTTTTTTTCTAAAATCTACAAACTGAAGCTGTAACTTATTTACTGTAAATGTAGTGTTTGTCAGCTGGTGTTTCTTTCAAATGGTTG